TCCCAGTTAGCGATCCTACGTTCAGAGTCCCAATTCGAACTAGCTTCTTTGGCCGAGGCCGTTCACTCCTCGGTAGCCCTCGCATACTGACCACAGAACTCGGGCGGGGGTTCTGCGCGCCACTTCCGGGTGACGTCCTAGCTTTATCACTGATTCTTTTGCGACTTTTAGACATGTTTGGTGTGACTGGGGTCTTCATCAGCCGGCCTGTCAACCTGGGCCTGACGCTGGTACTAGAACCATTTTTGCAATTTTTGCAAGGCATGGTTAACCTCGGCAGGGATCGAACTCGCGGTTTTCAGAGGTGCAGACATGAGTCTAACCTCTTAACCACTCGGCTATCCCTGCCTAAAACCGCGTGAAATGTGTATTTTCTCTTAAAAATGGGACTGAACTTCAGGCGGAGAGGGGGGTGGAGATACTCTCAGCTGCGCTTGCTATTTCACTTTCCCCGAGCTACTGCTCCTCCAAGGTATAGTCCTGGAGGATGCAACCCTATATTGCGATAGCGCCACCCACTATTTCTCCGTTCTCCCCCAATTTGTCGGTCTGTCGGCTCGAACGAACAATTCCTCGGCACCATCGCTGCGTTGCCATCAATTATCCATCCCATCCTGCAAAGCGCCTACACCTCTAAATATCAGAACTGCTAGCAAAATTAAGAGCCCATTGATCGTAGGGTATCGATGTATCGTGATGTCAGTGCTGCGATAGTACCATCCAACTGATGTGTAACACACACTTAGCACAGCGAGTTATCCTGCAAGGTCTAGGATTCGTGCTCGGCAGTGATAGTGATAGTAGAAAGTGATAGTAGAGTTCAACCGCCAACAGAACTAGTTACCAAATAACAAATCACAAGAAAATCTATAAGAGTCTGTTGGAGGAAGGGAGGGTGCCCGGTATCATTCAGCCTAATGTTACGGGTAAAACATGTGAAAGCCTGTTATGCATCTTCAGTAGCTTTGAGACAATTAGGAAAGCAAAACAATGCAGGAAGTCAATGAAGCACGAAAAAATAACAAAATAAGATTAAATAGTAATCGCAGTAATTAGGCTTCTGGTCATCACATGGAAGCTGAGCTCAGGCTTTTGATAGATGTCGTTTTGCTAATTGCTGTTCTGCCAAAAGCTTTAGCAGACTTTGGTAATATGACATAGCTATATAGTCGGACATCATAGACATGTTTTCCAACGTTTTGGCGAAAATACTGTTTTAACATGTTTTTGTTAGCAGCCATCCCTCTTTAAAGGAATCTTCCGCGGAAAAAGCTCCGCCTCCATTACCACAGAAAAACGATACCCCTTAGGCCCCTAGCCTCATGAGCATAGCAAAAAGAACGGAACATAAGCGTTAGTTTCGATAATACTAATCCTACACACAAGACAAAATGATCACTTTTCCGTGGAAGATTCCTTTAAGGTATCGTTTTCTGTGGTAATGAGGGCGGAGCTTTTTCCGTGGAAGATTCCTTTAAGCAACAGAACCCTCTCTCAGTAGAAAGGTGAGGTCGGCATTTTGTATCTACAAACCCATCTATACAACACATTACGTTCTATTAGGTTGGTGATCATTTCTGCAACAAATTACAATTGATGCTAGATTTTTTGAGAACTCCGAAAATTACGCAACATTTTTTTCAACGCCGCATCCACTTTTGCAATTTTGGTCAACCAACAGCTCCAGCAAACCTGCAACAGCGCGGGACTAAAGCTATGGAAGAAGATCAACCGACCAGCTCATTGTCTCGCTACTTGTTGTGGCTAGTACACCGATTCCGCAAAAACAGTTCGTACCCTTCATTTTCCACGAATCGATTGAGATCTTCCGCAAGCCAGGCTACACCAGGGGGCAAGCTGAGATGAGCGAAAGCACGGTCCCTCAGTCCAGCGCACTGGGGATTGGAGACCGGCACCTTTCGGCTTGCCACTAAGGCCTTTCAGGGGGTGCCAAGCTTTGTTTTAAAACTGGTCTTTTTGTATGATATACATATGTGGAAACCATAGTTAATTTTTCCTAAGCGGCTCTCTGAATTCCAAAAAGGGGGTCGATCCTTGGTTCAACTCCTCGTTGTGACAAAGTTTCCCATTTCAAATTGGCGTTGGAAAATCGAGCAAAATGGACTTCAGCATGAACGATGAATGACATTTCAATAAGAAAGGACTTGTCTGAAACCCTTTCCGACTTGCTGAAAAAAAGCGTGCCACCAAGAACGAGCCCCCACAGGTTGCGACTGCGAAGTGCCATTTGTCAACCACGAGGAAACGATCCCAGAGAGCCTCTTCAGAGGGCCCTTAGAAAGAATACCCGTGCGCTCGTGTTCCGCGTGTGTCCTATATATGCCGCAGGACCGCTTTGAAACGCAGCACACCGGCGGGGTCCGCCTTGAACGATCTTTCCGGTTAGTCTTCCAGTTTCCTTTCTTCTTGTTCACCTCGGCATCTTTGTTATCATTTGTCGTTAGTTGCAAAGAAAGTTCTGCGACACTCTTTTCAAATTTTTGTTTTTAATTTTATCTTTTTTGTTTACAACTCCTGACCGGTCTTGTATCTACCATGAGTGTCCTCCGCTTGTCTTCAACGCTCAAAAAATTTCTTGATGCTCCTTTGCCAAAACCCAGCGGAGTGTGGGTCGAGAAAGGAGGCGACCTCACTTGATATCGTCCAGCTTATCGTCATCAGGTGCTGATTTGAAGTCTAGGATGGGTGGCAGTCATTCATAGCTCGACCAGGGGAATACGCTAAGAGAGGTAAGAAATCTTGCCGCAGGTCCAGAATTTCTTACCGGGCCCATTTCGGATCATGGTGATTCGCAATGTCATGAAAGAAACAAATATTGTCGCGGTACAAGGGCTTCTGACGAGCTGCCTCGAGGAACTTTTGGAGTTTCGCAGCATAGGCCTCTACCAACACAATGGTGCCCATAACGAAGAATTTGTAAATGAGCTTCCGTAGGAGCCCTTCCTGTAATGGAGTGTGTAGGACGCTGCTGGCTTCTTATGAAAATATCAAAAGATCGAAAGCGCTGGTAAAGCTGAAACACGCTGTAGCGGTGAACGACATGCCTATTGAAGCGATTGCAGATAGTGTTGGTCTTTGACACGAATCCACAGTTATGGAGACATTTGTACTAGACAGTGACTCGGAGTGTGGATTTACCAGTGGTCGGGTTTTTTGAATTTTCTTGGATAACTACTTGACTGCAGCACTTATCCACCTCGTGGATTAAAGCCACGAGAATGCTCTACCATTTGTTAGTCATAAATGTTACCTATTGATTTTTCAAAAAAAGAAAATTTTAGAAAGAGTGTCGCAGAACTTTCTTGCCCAACCTAATATTTGTATTTTTTTGTTTTTTCTGCCGTTCGAGGTTGATAGGTGGAACATTTATTCAATCGGCCTAACGTTTCGACAAAATCGTCGTCTTCTGAGGCCTAAACGCGGTTCAAGGTTAAAATTCACGATCTAGTCCACCAAGCGCCTTATCTCCTCCAGCGGTTCCGATATTCCGTCGGGAGTTCCACGGAGAAACATAAGCAAAACAAATTTTAAACTCAACCAGGGTTTCACCGTTTGTGCGGGAATCCCTGCTTCTATACAAATCGGCTGGTCTAGTGAGACGAGTAAGAACACCATAATCTACAGCTCGCATTGCCCACTTGAAGATATTGCAATTTAGGCACCCCTTGATCAGAGTCATTACGCACCGTTTTTCCGAGTCCAAATGATTGTATACTATGATAATAATGCCTTCGAGCCATCGGGACCAATGCTCGCAAGGCCTGCTTCGTGTTGGCTGATAGTATAATTAAGGTTACGATCGAATGCACTGCTTCAGTCGGCACTCCCCGCATTGATGAAAAGGGTGTGATATTTCAAGCACCTATTCTATTAGGCAGCCATTTTGCCATCAAAAAGGCGATAACAGGTATCAAGAAGGTAGTCTAATGCGCAGCTACTCGCTTTAAAGCGGCTTTTTGTAAGGCGATAAGGTTGATGAATCACAATTGCGTTGATTCTGAAGAGAGGTTAGGCGTGTATGGCCACAAACGAAAGAATTGCTGCAGAAAAAATTTGGAAGCTTCTGATTTTGCAAGAAATCCAGCGATGAACGGCCGGGTGAACGCCCTTCAACAACAAGTGATCTTCGATACCGCACTGCGTGCTGTAGAATAAAGCCTTCGTGCGCTTCCCTAGTGTTACTGACGTCGGGAGACACAGTATGCATTATTTCTTACTGACGAACGCCAGCGTGTGGTCGCGGAACACGCGCGCAAACGATGAATGGGTAAGTTCACTATCACACTTGGTTTTGTTTTTTAGTGGAGCTTCTGACGGAACGTCGGAGCCGCTAGAGCGGATAGGGTGCTTGGTGGAGTAGTATGTAAACCTCAACCTCGAACCACAGGCCTCTGAAGACGCCGATTCGTCGGAACGTTAGGCCAATTCAATAAAGTTCCACCTATCAACCTCGTGTGGTTCGTACAACAAATACAAACAAAAAGTATGTCCGCCTACCGATAGCAGAAACCACACGATCGAGAGATTGCGCAGCTCAGGATTCTGAAGACTGCTCGTGATGCAGAGCCGTTCACGCTGACCTTTCCCGACTTCCCTAATCTTGTTTATCAACTGCCACTTTACCGACAAAAATTACGATTCAAAGAAGAACCTCGAAACCTGGTAGACTATACCTTTTTTGCTGATATCAGACTGAGAAAGCGTTCGAAAGTGGCACACTCTACAAGCAGATTTTTCTGCTGTAATCCCTTCCTTCACGGACGAAAATTCGTTCTAAAAAATCGAAGCTCGCAAAATTGAGGCTGTTTTATTATGAAGGATGTGATCGGCAGAGTTATACAAAGAATAGTGTTCTTGGTCATACTTCCTTTGTCCATCGTAAATTATGTATTCGAAATCAACTTGTCTATCCTCGTTCAGTTCCTCTGCTACTACTTGTTCAACTGTATTCTACACTTTGCTTGAAATGCGCAATTAATATGCATGGACAAACCAAAGTAAGTTTAAAATGATTCAATAGACAATTGGACTGGATAGAAGTTTGCTAAGATAATCCCACGGGGACCTAGGCACTTGGAACAAGTGAGACTCACTACATTTCCTTTTCATGGTTCACATTACAAGATGTGCATGAGGCACAATGCGAGCCTAAGCGTAAAGTGGACACTTTAAACATATCCTTAAAGGCAAAGGTCGGGCTCAGGCACGCTAGAGAAGTAATTCCCGTGCCTGGAGGTTGTGGTAGCTGCACACATTGCAGCAACTTCCCACCTTGAAAAACCCCGTTAAGGCCCCGGGGCGTTCGGTTTCAATCCAGGGCCGCCTGGTCAATCCAGGACCGCCCACCTCCGGAAGTGGTGCGTGGCTGGCATAACGTGTGAAATCAGCTAGGTTGATTGCCGTATCAACCGATAGAACGACTGACATCTCCAGAAAACTTGTTTGTACGTGCCTCTTTCCCAAGCCAGCCTCCTTCACTGCTAGTGGGGAAGAGGGTTTTGTTAACGACTCGTCGACGGTCGATGTGGAAGTAAAATAAACCACGACTACCCACAACTGGCAGATTTAATCTTACCATATGTGCTTGTTCACACGTGTGCCTGCCTTGCGCTTTTCACGAAATTTAGCCACCACTTGGCGAACCAACTGGAGAAACCAGTTAAATTGCGTGGCATAGAAGGCAAGGAACATTGAGCACAATTGAGCTGGAACTAGCTTCACTCGTGGTGAGCGGAAAACTTCCTGAATCATAGTAGCCTCATTACTGGAAAGGAGTGAGCATTGGGTAGATGTGAGCAGTGAGTTCGTCGTGCAGCAGTGAGTTTGAAGGAATCAAAAAAGGCTTGTGCAGTGAAGGCTCGTTACTTGCTTTGTTTCAGTTGTATACAATGCTATTTATCTATTTTTAGTTTATGACTAAGGAAGCCTGGTGTGCTCTGCACTTCTTGGGCTCTTGTAATCCTAAACATGCCCAGTACGAAGCTGTTCCACGATCAGAAATAACGGTAATTGCAAAATTGATCGCACAATTTCGTTCAAGCATTTTCAGTACATCATGTAAAATTTCTTTGGTCTCATTTTTCGCAAATCTGTTTCTAGAGCTTGGTCAACCTGGGATGCGTGGTCATCAGGAAATCTAAAGAAGTGACATGTTTTTGTGATTTCGATCATTGCAACAGGAACTTCAGCGCGCTCCTTGTTAGTCAATACTTCTATAATGATTGGTTTTAAGTTACTTATTCAATTTTCGTACATTATTTTTATATAGTCTGAAAAAGTTTGAAGGTAGCGATCACGATCTGAAGAGGTTTGGGGAGACATGGGGTGCTCAAAGGTACACCAATGTCGGAAAAAGAAATTCGTCAGGAAAACTCAAAACGGCCCAAATTATTTGATCGTTAATCTTCGCTCAAGGATGGGCAGCGGCTGAGAGACAACAGAAGTATGGACAAGCTCAGTTCATGCTCCAGTCGAGTTGCTGCGGTTGAGCAGCTAATGGCGCACAGCTTGCCTAAATCACCCACTGAACAAGTGGGTGAAGCGCTTGGAGGACGTGCATATCAAGGATAAGGGAGGGGTAAATACGCGATGCTTCCCTTCTTCACCGTGATCGCTTTCTTTAATCGCTCATCACGCGATAAATTACACCTTCATGTATGTACTCAAAAAATTTAAGAAACAGTACTCATCGCAAAGTGATGCAATCAAACCAGTGCAGAAATGTTTGCAGAAGCATCAAGCGCAACTTGGAGGTAATTATCGATCTCGTTTTTTTAGTTCGCCTTTCGCCATAAGCTATTTTAAAGGAGCGCTGATTGAGCTTTGTTCCATTCAGAAACCATTGACTTCGGTTTTGCTCAAGCGCTCTAAAGGATAAAAAAAGGATAAAGCATTTGCCGTTGATCAATCCCTTTTTGGGATGCGGCACGCATTCTACTTCCATTTGTACATTCGTAGTGGCGTTTGAATGCGATGTGGCCTATACAATGACTTGCGGGGGCCAGCCGATGTACAAGTCAGTGTTTTTATCCTCCCAGACAAGTCTGGTACCAATTAACCGACCCCGGAGGGATGGAAGGCTTGGTTGGCCCGGGCGACTCACGACCCAGGATTTGATCCCGGACCGCTCGCGTGGTGAGCGTGCCACTACACCACTTCCGCCCTCGTCAAGCGCTCTACTTGAAGCAAATTTTGAAGAAAAGGAGTAATTCTTTGCTCCTGCCGTGGTAGTGCGAGAAGCCAAATCACGCTTCACCAATGTGGACGTGGTTTGGAACGCTGCTTTGCCAAAGTGAGCATCAGAAGCCTTCGTGTCACTAGTACTGACGCTTGGATATCAAAGCTTTTTACAAAGATGACTGCGCGTTCGAAAGATTTACCAGAGCAAAACCATAGCAGTAACATAACTACATGCATAAAGTACGAGTATAGGAAACGCGGACAGGAGGGCAAGCAAAAGCGAAACTAAATTTATCACAATTTAGCCCATCATCGACATAGTGATGTGATAAAATGTGAATCGAGTCACGAAAAATCAGGGCTTCAAGGCAGGACTGGACGAGCACACGTGTGTGCAGCGAGCAAGACGATCAAGATAAGTTAATCAAAATTACCAGACAGTGGAAAAATCATGATTAAAGCAATAACGATGGTTTTCTCGCAAATCAGGCATGCGTTTCGTGATTTCGGGAAGAAAGCTGACACCATGGATCGCTCCTTGTCAGGTTAAAGAATTCTCTGACAATTAGCGCATTTGATTTGATAACATGCCCTTATGCATCTTATCAATAATGTTGTCAGTGAACGACATAAGATACAGCATTTACCGTCGACCTACGATTTTCAGATTAGTCACGCATTGTTACCTCGATGAGCATCGTATTAGCTAGACGAGCAAGAAGGCAGTTTGCCTATACCATGGCTTCCTTTGAGAACCTTCAAGAAGTAGATCCGTGCTTTTATCAAACTCACACCAAGGAAGTAAGCGTTTGAAGAGGAGAGCTTGGTTGGGATTTGATCCGAGAATTGATTCCGGATAATGCTGATTTGATCCCGAACCATTTAGTGACTCATCGACTAGTGCTCGACATACGTTAGGTATGTGGCGTAACCTGCCACGATACCGTTCCACTAGTTGACGCAGCTAGGATTGCATGGCTTTGTTCATTATGCTGCTATGATTACACTTTGACATGCTGCAAATGCTTCAAACAGTCAATACTGATTGAGCGGTTCTCCTAGTGATGCGCTTCATCGAGTTATCGCTACTTGCGCACTGGCGCACCAGAAGTAAATATCCACTCAATGGTCGAGCACTTTTTGATATGCATCATGCATTCTATTCATCCATCGAGCGTCGTACCTGCAATTCGATGCAATATTACTTCAGCAATACTAATTAGCGCAACAAGCCAATGTTGAAGTCAATGCTTTTCCCCTTCATAATGACGTTTGGAAGCAAACAAGGTCCCCAAATGGGTAAGCGAAATTCGATCCAGGACCCGACCGTACAGGTTGCCAGTGACACCGTCATTGGCGCACTATCTTCGTGACAGAGTGACCGGAGAGTCATGTTTCAAGAGTGTTCACGGAACTTCATCTTGGTCGATTTCTGATACTTATGGTTAGTAGCCTACCGCTTCAAAAAGTAGATCGCGTCAACATGGTGAAAGTCCTTGAGAAGCCAGTTTTTCCTGTCCTGAAAACGATGTTGCACATTTGTAATTTAGCACATCTCTCACAAGTCGCACTTTTTGAATCGTACGTCTTCATATGCTTCTGTCGTCCAAGTTACATTCAAGAAGTTCTGAGCTGGGAGCGATACTAGTGATGAAAAGGTCTCGTACTTGAAAAGGCTAATTTTCTTCACTGGTATTTTACTCTGAGTTTGGATTACCTTCAACCTGTTTTTCTGGTGGTAGTCTTTAGTAGTATAGGTAAGAAATGACCTTCTTGGGGATTGAAGGATTGAACGAGTGGTTTGTAAAGACACAAGGAGACGTGTTGTCAGGAATCACACGCTGCAAATGCGCATCTGCTGTTCGCAGCTGAATATACTGGGCTGTGGTACCTTACGACACATTTCGCTCATGCACGAATACGCGTTTCACAACGTGATTTTAAGCATTGCTCCTGAGCAGTCAAAATAACCATGAGATTGTCTTCACCCACGCGCAGCTACAAAGCATGATTTTCGGGGTGACTGCATGTAAGAAATAAGAAGGGTGGTAATGTAGAACTCTTAGCAGCGTCTTTAATCCACATTTGAAGCCGGGCGGATTAGGGTTCGACAGAATGCGGTTGCACCCGAATCAAAAACCGATGACACCACTGGCGCGGGCTATTGGAAGAATGCGTATACTCAATGATATTTTGATATAGTCATGACATACTGATACACTTTTTATTCTGAAACCACTTTTGCACAGCTATATGTCTG